TTTCTGTACAATCTTATTTGTCATTGCAATAATTGACTCTTTTTATTTAATTGATATCCCGTAATATTAAGTGTATTTACTTATTTAATGAAAAGTGAAAATTATATTAAAAAAAGTGATACAAAATAATTATTCTTATATCATCACTCTTTTTTATTTTAGTTAAAGAATGCCATGTCAACTCAATATTAAACATGTAGCCAAAAGTTCCTCCGTGTCTGTTTCTCCAAAAATCCTCAGTCGACCTTTACCACGTGAGTTTGGTTATTAGGCGTGCCACTTACTTTGTTTAAAAACAAGAAAACTGAATTTTCCAGCCAGCGGTCGACCTTCAATAGGATGGCTGAAAAGAACGTCTGTGAAATGAATTGCGCCCCAGACGATGTTGCAAAACAGAGGGTAGAGTTCTGCAAAATGGGTTACTAATTGCCTTGGAAACCTAAGGACTTCACAACCAAACAAGTGTAATAAAAGCTACAAATCCTAAAATAAATGCAATATCCTAAGGCAATTAAACTAACATGAAGTAAATAACAGTAAATAACAGAAAATAACATGCCATAAAGATTAAATTCGCAGACAACAGAAAAAGTAAAATAATAGACAATGATTTCAACTACACAGCCCATAATGATTAAACTAATTACTAGCAGAATTAAAATAAAAATAGCCAAACTACTTGATGACTAAAAATGAAGAAGAAACTATGAAATGATTAAAGTCTGGAAACTTATAAAATTAAATCTGGAAATTGAAATTAAATAAACTGCATGTCTGGATATTGTGCAGAGACAAAAGAACAAAGATAGAAAATGTTCAACCCATTTACATGAACGAATAACATAACTAAATCCATAAAAGGAAGAAGAACTAACTAAATCAAAAGGGCAGACCTGTTTTGAAGACTAAGTTGCTTCCAAATGCTTAAAAATTAATCTAAATTGGAGTTTGCAAAAGAAAATATGAACAAAGATAAACAAACCTAGGCTAAGGCTATGAACTAATCTGGAAAATCTTGAAACTATTGCTGAAATCTGGAAAATGTGAAAAACATGCTCTAGGCAGTGTGTGTGTGTTGGGCAGGCCTCTCGAACTATTCTCTTCTCTCTGTTTTTATTTTCTTCAGTGCTGGGAACTTCCTCCATGATTTTCGGTACTGTTCCTCCATGATCTGGTAGTGGGATTGCATGTCTGGCAGTTGTTTGAAAATTATCCGATAATTTCTATTTAACCTTATCTCCAACAACCTTAAAGATAACTACCTAAAAATCCTCAATTCTCCACTTTAAATCAAACTCAAACTACCAAATCCAATCTTATCTTCTGCCACCTAAGATCCAACCCCCTTGAAAATTCGTCTGGGCCATTAAATCGTAAGCCAGCCCAGCCCAAATCCAACCTATTGATTTTCTTGATAATTGAGCTTTACCTTAACACGTAACCTTACCCTATTGGTTTATTTTAGGTGTAAACAATGTCATTAAATAGTGTCCACATAAGCAAATTGCAAATAGTCTTTAACCTGCACGGAGGGGCATGTGAATTTTCCATTAAATTTTGGATTATTTGTGGATTTTGCAAACTTAAGAGTGTTAATCAAGAAGAAAAATTCCTAAAGAATTTGACAGTAGAAGAAATAAGAAATGTTCAAAATACAAATTAGGGGTTTTGCCTTGGAAAACTGGACCCTTCTCCCACTTGTAGTTTGGAGGGACTGCAAGTCGCCTCCCAAATTTCAGAAACGTCTAGAGGCTTTGTTGTTTTCTCTCGTATAAATTTACGGTCACGTTTTTTTGGATATAGTTATATATCATTCGGTTGATTCAACTACAAAACCAAAATAAGATTTTGTCCCCTTCCCTCAGTCGCTTCCAAAGTCTTAATTTGCTAGTGATGGGAAAAGCCCAAAATTGACTTATCAAATTCTTAATTTGCCCCTGCCTCCACGGTCACTTCTGTTTCTCCCTATTTAACCACTATACTTCTTTGCTTGTTTTAAAGCATTGTTTAGAGTTCTCTTAATGCGACAATCTACTTAAGCAGGTTAGATATTCTGGCTTTTCTCTCTTCTCTTTTTACAATTG